ATTTTCTTCCCACTGTGCAGTGACTCCCAGGGAACCTCTTGGCAGAGCCATCATACATCTGGTGTGGTGGTTCCTCTGAACACACTGCAGGGTCAATCTTCTTAATCAAACCATTATTGCCATAATTAACAGGGCTTTAAAGGTGCCGTTGAGGCAGAGCTTTCTGCAGGATGTTGGCTGATAGGTGGGATAACAGCTGGTAGGAATTGGGATTAAGTGTTCCAGGGAGTGGGATGAGCATGAGGAGAGCCTGGGGATTGGGGCATATCTTCATACACAGACTCATGTGCACTCCAGTTGCACTGACATCACACTTTGTCTTACTTAGAGGTCTCCTCTCCCTGCTCAAAGTGTATTTTATGGGAACACCTCACCCTTGGATGTTTAAGGGTCGAATCAGCAGCAAGAACAGATAAATCTTGCATTCAGTGTTGTGCAGGTGGCTGGAGCAACTCAAAAACTAAAGTTGTACACTCGATGGTGGGAAATAAATGATCACAGATCTTCTGAATGGGTGGGTGGGTGGATTCTTCTGGCACAGCCCCCTTGCCCAGGGGTTCATCAGACACTTCTCCTGCACTGCTCTGTCCCAGTGAAGGTATCACAAGCATAGAGAACATGTCCTTTTTTTTGCAGAGTCCTGGTGGTCATTTGGCTCCCCCTGAGCTACCATTCCACGCTGCCAGGCCGTGCTGTGGCTCTCGGGAGGTGGCTCTGGGCCGTCTGTTCCATTTGCATCCCTGCAGGGAGAATTATCTGTGGCTTTCAGGAGCGTGGCGTGAAGGGGCACACTCTGTTCCTTTTCCCTCTCCTACCTCTTTGGAACCGGTTGCCTTTTCATTTTTGCTTTATTGGATTATTAAAAGGCTGCCAGCTGGATGTAGGTAAGTGGAGGTTTTCTCTGCTGCAGTCTGCAGAGAGCAGGCATCAGTGTGGAGCCATTTAGTCCTGGCAACTGCTTCCTATTTTTCCAGATGATTCCAGCCGGCTCTTTTTGTGTTTAGCCTATTGTCAGATACAGTCACAAAGACTCAGGGTATTAATCCTGTCATCTGTTCAGTGTGTGGAGCTGCTGAGTGGGCTGTGCTGTGAATGAGGAGCTGGAGGTGCTGGGGGAGAGCGGGATGGGGTGTGGGTGTGTTCCGAGCGCGTTCAGGATTCGTGCCTTTTTCCCTGGCATCGGTGATTGAGTGTGAAAATTCCCTTCTTCGTCCCCAGGGAGGGGAATGTGCAAGTGTAAAGGTCTGATGGTGTGAAGGCAGGTGGAACTGGGGCAGGCTGCAGTGGTGGAGGGGCACAGCCCTGCCCTGCAGCCGGAGTGGCTCCCGAGGAATCCTGAGCCGTGCTCGGAGCAGACAGAGCTGTGCATTCAGCACTTGGTGTTGAGACCAGAATATAACAAATGGACTCAACCAAACCAACAGCTCCCAAGATCATGGGTGCTGGATATACCAGGATTCATGGCCTTGCAGGCTGAGTCCCTCTTAGTGGCTGCCCTGGAGGAGCTGGAGCTGGATCCTGGCTGTGTGCGCCGCTTCCTCCTGCGGCAGCTCTGGTTTAGCAGCGTCTGTGAAACCCAAACTCCCCTGCTCTGTCTCTCACCAGAGCTGCAGCTCTGCACTGGGCTCCTCTGCCAGCAAATTGGGAGAACTCCTTGCTCCAAAGGACTTGAGTCTGCCCCATCCTGTGGTTACAGAGCAGTCTGTGGGATTGGCCTTTAACTGGACCCAGGAGAGGGGAAAGGGGTGAAGCCATTTCCCTCACCCTCCCCCAAAGCATTTGTTTTTTTTAAATAGTGATTTCACAGCTCTAATTTGGAACCAGCACAGCTGAGGGGACCATGATGAGTGTCTGTACATTGGGTGATAGGAACTTCTTAAACCAGAGCAGCTGCCAAAGCATCTCAACGTGGAGCTTCTGCTCTGGGAGGCGGCTTGGCAGGAGAGGATCCGGCCAAACTGCTGACTCCAGGCTCCTGCTTTCCCACCTGGATACTCAGATCAGCACTCCTTGGGCCCTGCAGCTTTGAGATGCTGAGCACCCCAAGGCAGGGAAGGTTTCTGGGTGTGAGTGTCAGGAGGAATGAGCTGTTGTGCCTCTCAAATCCCCAAAGCCTGTGTTGTTTTTTCGGAGGGGTTTGGTGCTGGCATTTACAGATGTGTTTCCAGCCAGACACTGAGCATTAGCAGTGCAGAGAAAAATATGTGCTTGGGCTTTCAGTGGGAAACAACAACAGCAAAAGAAGATCCTTTCTGTTTCTTCCAGCTGGAAAGTGATGCCAGGAGCTGTTATTTCAGAGAACAAGAAGTCTGGATTTCTCTGTGTGTGTGTGTGTGAGATGCACCTTTGAATGTGTATCAGGAAAATCTACCCAGAGAAAATGCAGAGCATAGAAAGTAGGTCTGACTGTCACTTCAGTGAAAACCAAATGTGTTTTGGAAATGTCTTTGTGTGTTTCTTAAAAAAAAAACCAAACAAACAACAACAAAAACAAAGACAAGAACATCTGCTTGTGTATAAATATACCTGTTTTTTCTGGGTTTGTGCTTTCCATTACAGCATGTGCCAATTTTTCTGGAGTGCCAGAAGAGCAGGAACATCTCCAGAAAATGCTCAGGTTACAACACTTGGATAAAACCCTCCTGTGCCACCTTTGTAGGGGTACAGTCAGCAGAGGGCAAATGCACTGGGGAACTTGTGGTTGCCAAACTTCTCCAGCTTCTTTTTATATGTTTGGCCAAATCCTCAGCTGGCTGGAGGGGGAATATTAAGACAGCAGCAGCCCTGAGAGCTGAGCAATGGTTTGGTGAGAAGTTCTGCTTGGACAGGGGATAATTAATGTGATTTTTTTCCTAGTGCCCACCCTTCTGTCCCCTAAAGCAATGGCTTGAGCTGGAAGGAAGGGCACCTCTGAAAGGATGCTGCTGTGCCTGGGACTGGAATGGAACAATGTCCAGTGAGCCCCAGCACAGCTGATGGGGTTGGTTTTGTTTATTAAAGACAGGCCTTTGTGCAGCAGCAACGGAAAATCCTATTTCTGTACCAATAAAAACTTTGCTCCCATGGTTGTTGTTGTTGGCAAACTCAATCCCTTTGGTGTTTATGGAAAAGTATTTGCTGGGAAGGCCTGGATGGTTAGCAAGCTTCATCTGCTTTCCTTTTGCTTTGATGGCACACGTGTTGCTGTGGGACTTGGAGTGTCACCCCTGAATCCGTGTTCCCAGGCTGGTGTCCCTGTCCTGCAGCGTGGACAGCCCCTGTCCCTCCTGTTCAACAATTCCCAGGGTGTTTTGGAGCAGCCAGGCCAGGCCTAGTTGGATGTGGGGTATGAGCCAGCTGACAATGGCAGTGACACAGAACTGCTGCAGAAGGATTAAAAGAAGCTTCTCTAATAGATGCAATTACCCAAACATGCTTGAGCCATGTTGTCCCATTTAATTCCTTCCCAAGAAAAGAGGCATTCCTCAGGGCACTGCTTTTGTCTGGCTGACAGAGATTATGCTAAGCATCCTCTCTGGATCCAGAGTGGCTCTTCTGTGCCCTGAGTGGCAACTATTTGGCTTCAGATCCCTCTGAAGAGCAGTTATCCCTGCAGGAGCGAGTAGATTCCTTGCCAGGCAGTGATTTTGTAGCTGGCAGAGCCTTTGCTGCCATGCAGACCTCACAGGCAGCTGGCACTGCTGGCCCTGGCTCCCTGCCTGGGTGCCCAGGGGCATTTTTACCCACTGCTCTGTGGAAAGGATCCTTCTGCAATGGGGGATCTTCCAGGAGGGAGCTGTCATGGCTTTGTTTGTCCACGAGGCAGGAGCTTTGCAGGGGTGCATCCCTAGGGCTGGGTTGATGGAAGGGAACACCCCAAGGAAGGCAGGGACCCCCCAGGGTTGTTTGATGTGGTGTGAGGTTGCTCTTAGCTAAATAAATGACCAGTGTTCAAGTTAAAACCTTGCACGTTTCTCCTTCCCCTCAAAACCCTGTGTCCCACCTTTTAAGGGTATTTAGTCTGAAATCATCAGCTGAGTTTTTAAGAAAACCATTAAATATTCAGAAGTTCTTGGTGAGGTGCAAGATAAAGGATTAAATAGCCCAGAAAAGCTGCTCGTTGACTTTCCCAGCTCCTGCCCCCCAGTGCAGGCATTCCCTGAGGTATCCCACAAGGAAACCTGTGTACAGACAACTGTGCTCTTGCTCCTAAGCACCAAATGTTTAATTCAGTGTGTGCTTGTCACAGTGCATTAAAAATGCAGGTGGCACTTGCTGGTGTCAGGCAGTTTTTGTCACAGGGAGATGTCACCGAGGTGGCACAGTGGAATCTGCTGGCTCTGGGAATGCCAGGAACTCCAGGAACAGAGTCCTAAAGATCTCCTGGACATCAGTGGGAAATGTGAGGCTTGCAGACACCTCAGCAAGGGTGAGGTCTTTTGTAGAGCCCCTGGAGCACAGGTTGTGTTTGTGTTTGTGTGCACAAGCAGATCCCAACCTCCCCGCTGGGCTCAGCCCCTGTCCCTGCAGCTTTCCCAAGGGGAATTCATGGGGTGGTTCAGCTGTGGCAGTGGAGTGGGAAACCTCTGTGAGCACCTTGTTTTTAGAAAAGGGATTCAAAGCAACGTTTGGCAGCCTCTGGGTGATGTTGGGGAGTGGTGTGAAGTTCATAAAGAGGAGTGGAAAAGGGTGAAAAGAGACATTGCTGGGATAGAAAAAACAACTCAACCCTTGGGCAGCATGTTCCTGTGTGGAAACAGCGGTGATTCCAGGTGGTTCCCAGTGGTTTCCCACCTGTGGAATGGGCAGGGGTTAGAGCTGAGGCAGCTGCTCCCTTCCCATCTGCAGGACAAAGCCCCTGCTCCTCCATGCTCACCTCCCAACATTTCTCCGTGTGCTCTTTCCCAAGGGCCTGGATCAGAGTTTCCATGACCACCACTGATGCAGCCATGGAGGGCAGGGCCTGCTTGGGCCTCTTTTCTCTCCCCCAGCCAACTGAACTTTGTTTTCTTGCCTTTCAGTCCTTCCAAGGAAGCCAAGGACGTGCTTATCTCTTCAATTCCGTGTGAGTACCACGCGCGAGGCACCTGCAGCCCCGGGGTGGATGGGAGAAAACAAAAGGATAGTTTCCCTTAAAAAACCTCTCCCTGGCACTTGGGAGCTTGGTGGAAAAGAGAGAGAGGCAGGAAGTAGCACTGATTCATGTTTGATTCCTGGTGAGGTTGCAGAGGAGCAGCGAGGAGAAGGTGATTTATTTTTTCATCATCAGATTGAGAAATAAGAGCTCGTGGATGAGTCACTCCCTGCTCCAAGGATGTAGTTGGACCAAAGAGCCAGAATTTCGTAAATGTAGAGATAAATGATCTCTAAATATGCACTTTTTAGAGCTAACATAAAACCCAAGTATCATCTCCCGGCGACTGGAAATAGTTTGGGTGAGGTCACTGCCGGGATGTCTTTCCCCAGAACTGCTGATTTCAGTTCCATTTTTCAGTTTTCCATTCGGGGAAAGCAAAAGCACCATTTTATCAATTTTGAAAATGAAAATCTTTCTCAAACGCTTAATTAGCACGAGTGCCTGGAGTGTTATTAATCTTCTGCTCGGAGCTTCTGGAATAAGAAAAAAAAAAGTCTCATTTTTACCTTTGGAACTGGGAGAGAGACCTTTGGGGCCGCTCGTTGTCCTGAACCTCCTGCTCGAGGTTTTTACAGACTGCAATGAATCGTTGTCAGCTTTGCTGGAGGGGGTTTGGGTGTGGAAAAGCACTAATAGGGAGCCTCTCTTGCTTTCCCCCCAGAGTTAACGTGGGCTGTGGCCCTGCAGAGGAGCGGGTCTTATTAACAGGATTACACGCGGTGGCAGATATTTACTGTGAAAACTGCAAAACCACGCTGGGGTGGAAATATGTGAGTACCAGTGTCCTTTGTTTTGCCTGGGGGGCAGCTTTGCTCCGGCCCTTTCCCAAAGGTGTTTGTGTCATGTCATGGAAAGACCTTTAACTTGGGCACATCCACGTCTTTTTTTCCGTTTTCCCTCCTGCCTTGTGTCGGGTGCATCCCTTCAGAGCAGCCCTTTGTGCTGAATGGAATTTTTGAATTAAGAATTATTAAGAATATATACATTTATGGACCTGATTTCGATGGGTGCCCCTCAGTGCTACTTACCATAAACGAGGATAAATGTGGTTCCTGCTGCCTTTTTTTTTTTCCTAGATGTTGTCAGAGTAATAGAATGCTCCATTAATCCCGTGTCCTTCCCACTGGAAATGCTATTGAACACGGGTTTATCCGTTTGCTGCCTCCCTCCTGCTCTTCATAAATTCAATTAGTTTCAAATAAAGGCTTGTGTTACATCCTAATTTCTGCTCCTGCAGGCACACACCACACTGGTTTGTCTAAATGTTGTGACCAGTGTCTGAACAAACCCCATTTTGTATCCGTAGCCTTTGGACAGAAATATTTTTTACTGAATCAGTTGAAAGGCTGTGAACAGGAAAACATCAAAAATTGATGTGGGTGGAATCCATGCAGAAACACAGCGTGGATCCCACAGATGGAGCAGGACACTAAGTACATCATCTGAGTTCATGGTAAACAAACCCCAGCATTCCATAACCAGCAGTGAGCCCAGGCCTTTCCAGCAGGGAATGACCTTTCAGGTGAGTTACAGGCAGCAAGGAGAGCACCTGAGCAGAGCTGAGCTGATGTGGAGGGTGCAGCCTCCATAACTGAGTCCCTCCTGGTCAGGGCCGTCAGGAATCCCAGGAATTTCCCTCTCAGTTGTGTGGTGTGGAGGCACCGTGTGTTTCCATGGCTGTAACCACGGATCTGGGCAGAGCTGGTCCTTCTCCTGCTCCTCCATCTCCACAAGTTCCCCATAACCCATCCCATTCCCAGTGTTGGTGGTTTTACAGTGTTCCATCAGAGAACCTCTGCATTCTCCACCAACTAATAAATTCTCCCTGGAGAGAGGTGGGTTTTATCACCAGTGATTCCTAAATCCTTGTTTAGTTCCAGGAGCCATTGGCCTACAGAAATCTGCACCTTACAGGGTGCCAGTCCTTTTTTCCCAGCCTGTAAAGACAGCCAGGAGCAGGATTTAAGATTTTTCCCACATCATTTTCCTGAAAGCCAAGGAGCACACCTGCAGTTTTACTCAAAGACAAGGCAAACACTCACACCAGCATTCCCAGCTCTGATCCATAACTCTGATTTACCTTCACCTCATTTTTTCTCCTTTCCTTTTTTTTTTTTGTTTTGTTTTGTTTTGTTTTGTTTCAGGAACACGCTTTTGAAAGCAGCCAGAAGTATAAAGAAGGCAAATACATCATTGAACTAGCTCACATGATCAAGGATAATGGCTGGGATTGAGTGGGAGAGCCCAGCCCTAGCAGCGTGTAAGAGAATGCCATCCAACCGAACATTATACCCAAGAGTGAGAGAGTGACTGAACGCTTGGTTCCATGCATTTAGAGGCTCTGCAACCCGGGAGCATCTTCACACCCTTCTCCATCTTTATTGGTGACTGGCCTCTAAATTTCTGTCTCTCTGTCTCTTTGCTTTGTATCTGTTTGTGAGTTGACCCTGGCTGCTTCTCTCTCTGTCCTGGCTCAGAGAACGCCCCGAACGCCGAAGCCATTCCATGTGCCCAGTGCTGGAGGCCGCGCTGCCGGTGGCTCGGGGGTGGCATTTGTACCAGGAGAGCTCTCGGTGCAGGGGGAGGCCCCGAGCTTTGGGCAGGAGGAGGTGAGAGGGGGGTGGGCCCCAGGGAATCAGCCGAGGTTGACCCTGCGCTTCTCCTCTCAGTGCTGGTCAAGCAAGGCTTGAACCGTCTCCTTGTCTCGGTGGACAGATAAAATACCTCACCCTCCCCGGCCCCACCCACCGCCCCGGCCCCGGCGGGCTGAGCACGAGTTCCCCCCACGAGCCAGTTGCAATCTGTGTCGTGTTTGCTGTTCATGAAGTTGTTGTTTGAGGGGCAGGGCCCGAGGGCTGCAGAGGTTCCCTCTGCCTCTCCTTGTTCTCGCTGCTGCAGGGTAGGGAGGGCTGAACACCCCAGCAGAGCACGGCTGCAGAAACCAAATCCTGACTCCTGAGCCCTTCAGAGAGGAGGAGAAAACCACTTAAGGCACGAGGAGGCTGGAGCTGCAGCTTAGAAGATATGACAAGGGTGGAAAAAAAGGCATATGTGAGGCAAGAAAGGAAATTGCCTAGGGGAGGATGGGGACAGACTTAGTAACAGAGGGTACCCCTTGATTTCCCGGCCTCCCCTGAGCACCCCTGGAGGTGTTTTACCAATCCTTCACAAGTGCAAGTAGGAAAATGCTGTTACAGGATCTTTTCCTTAAATCCCAGGCCCCAGCCAACTGTGGGAGCCTGGCAGAGAAATGGGGTGAGAGTGGGGAGAGGAGGGAGCAGAGGAGCTGGTGGTTGAATTGCACAGGTGGATATTTCAAGCCATGAGGTATCCCCCCAAAACCTTCCCCCCCTTTTCCCACTCCCAGAAGGCTGCTGCAGGCACGGGGGGAGAAATGGGATAGAAAAAACTTAATAATCTTCCCCCTACCTCTGAAATTACGCCTGGGAGTTCAAAGCAGGGAGGAGATGTGGGCAGCAACTGCAAGGGGATAAGTCCCTCCCATTTTAATTTTTCCATGTGATTCTTGAGGACCTTCCCGAGGTGGATGGAAGGGAAGGGGCATCGTGTGTGAGAGGGAAAGGCATAAATGACAATGTGAAGTTTGCTCTGCAACAGTCCAGCCAGTAACTGGTGCATAACTCAAGACCATTGAACTGAATTAGTTTTATCTCTCTGAGTGAATTTTCTTTTTGTTTGTGGAATTCTTTCAAGTAGGTTAATCCATGGGGGGGGGGGGGAGAAATCTTTCTTAATCCAGAAGGAAAGAGTATTGTGCAGGGGTTTGTGACTCCTTATGAAACAGGAGCTTTGGAGCTGTAATCTGGTGTTGCTGGATTCCACCCCGGAGAGGCTCTGAGGGGATCAGGCCTGGGGGGCTGCTGGGACAGAGTCCTTTGGTGTTAAAAAATTGGCAGGGAATGTGAACAGAGACGCCCCTGAGGGATCAGGGGGAATCTGAGTGTTGGGTCCTTGTGCTGAAACCCAAACCTGATGAAGCAAAGGCTGGTTTTTTCTCTCAAACCTCTGGTTTTGAAGATCCTGGAGAGGGAAGGGAGGTGGGGGCTGGTCTGGCCCCTGCAGTGGGTGGAGTTGGATCAGTTTGGGACCAGCCTGAGGTGGCTTCTGCCCTCACCCTTCTGCTGTGGCTGTGTAACAGTTGCTTCAGCTTTGGTTTCTGGTTGTCTCTGCTTCCATCATCCCCGTTCCCCTCAATGACAAAAACCTACTAGAAATCAAAAATTCCACAGTGCCCACTGTCTTGTTCACTCTGGCACTGAGCTGGTCCCATTTCCCTGTCCTTTGCTTGGGGATCCAAGACAATTTATTGGGTTTTGAGTAGTGGGAGATAATTTCTGTTCTTCAAGGAGCTCTTGAGTCTCCTCAGATACAGAGCCTTCAAAGGGGTCTGGTTGGAGCTGGGAGAAGTGAGGGATAATCCCAAAATTCATGGGTTTGAGGAGAGCACACAGGGGCTCATCTTTTGATGTTGGTATTTGGAGTGACTGCTGATAAAAAGTGATATAAAAGGCAGGGCTGTGTAAAGAACTGCTCTGAGAAATAAGAACTACAGAGAGCTGGTTTTATGTGTATATTTGGGACTAGAAAGGACAGTGATCCATCAGATGGGGCTGTTTTTAACTGGTCACAGGTGTCAGGCTTTTAATGGCAGCCAGCCTAAGCTTGAATATGAGATCTTAATCTGCTTTTAATTGGTTTTGTCCCACCAGCATCCGCAGAGTCACCCACTGCAGGGTGGGAAACACCCACTGCTGGGAGTGGGACAGGAACAAACCTGGGTGGCTGTGACTGTCCCCAACACCCCGAGAGTCCCCTGGGGGGGTGCAGTGCTCTGCCCAGGGAGACAAGGAGAAAGGGGCTGGTGTTTAGTGCCCAGTAAATCTGCAGGGCTTTAGTCCAGTCCTGACTCAGCTGTTGGGAGCTGGGAGCAGGGGTGGGATCTGTGCTGGGGCTGCCACGGCTTCGCCTGGAAGTGTGGATGGACCCAGAGCACAACCAAAGAGCCTCAGTCACCACCTTCTGCTCCTGGGGGGCCATCCCTGAGGGAATGGAGCCAGGAGAACCAGCTGGGAGATGTGGCCCATGGAAAAGCCTCCTTGTCCAGGCAGTGCTGCTTCCCACGGGTGACATTCCTTGGGGAAACACGGGCAGCAGTGAGTTTTCCTTCTCTTTGGGTGTGGCAGCCTCGTGTCTGGCAAGCCCTGAATTTACACCCCACCCCCCCACCCCATCTACCCCAAAGCTCAGACTTGAGTTCAAAAGTTTAAAACTTGAGTTTAAAAGTTTAAAACTTGAGTTCAAAAGTTTAAAACTTGAGTTTAAAAAGTTTAAAACTTAAGTTTAAAACTTGAGTTTTAAATTGTTTTCTCCTCTGGTGGATTATCTGGTGTGAAATCCCCAATCCCTGTAATAAATATTCAGATGATAATATATACAAAGCAAGAAAAAAAAAGAACAACAACCCAGACATTATCTTGTGAAATATACTTTTGTAAATAATATTTAATTTAAAAAAAAATAATAATAATATATTTGGTGCTGTTTTCTCAGAGCCCCTCCCTGAGAGCACTTTTTCTTTTGTTTATAAATGATGCTGTTTCCTTCTGTATTTGTTGGAAAATATGTTTAAAGGGAAACAAAACTCATCATCTGCGTTGTCCGCTGAAGGTGCAGGCGTGGCTGGGTTAGGACAGACCCCAAGGTGGGATGAGTGGGATGAGAGGAAGCTGGAACACCTTCCCAAGGAGATCAGGTGTGTAGGATCCAGGCCTGGAATTTCCTCTTGCACCAGTTTTTGGCTGAAGTAGATCTGGAGACAGGATTGAACATGAGCTGCAGCCCCCCAGTCATTGGTGGCTCGAGGGCAGCAAGGAGGGATGTTGGAGGTTTTTAACTAGTCCTTGTTTTTAAACTAAACCACAAGTCTCTGGACATGGATCCTGGTTTTCTTTTTGAGGTTTATTTTTATTTGTTGTTGTTGTTTGTTTTATTTTATTTTTTTTTTTAAACCAGGCTGCTACATAACAAATTAGAGTAAAAGTTTACCTCTCTGGCAGTAAAGTTCATTTATTTCGTTCTCCTTTCTGTCTTTTATCTCCCCTGTTCTCCCCCTTCTTCGTTTTTAATTCATTGGGTCTCTTGTTTATCCCGAAGTGGACCAACAGCACAAAGCACTGGACTGTGTTTTGCTGAGCAAGGAGCAGTTTTCAGTGCTCAGTAACAGTTGCACGCTCTGTAATTCTCCAGTTTTGGTGCACACGATTGAAAAACGCGCAGGAAAAAAAGCAAACGACCCGACCCCGTTGCTCTCGTGGTGATCCAGTGAGGATCTTCTCTGTATGCATTTCCCTGACTGGGCTGTGAGAGTGTGTTGATCATGCATTTCACTGCACTTCCTTGTTCCCGTGGGATCCAGCTGTGGGATGAGCAGGTTGGAGACACCCCGAGCTCGGCTCGGTGGGAAGGAGCTCTTCCACCAGGTGAGAGGCCTCAGACATTCAGTGCTCAGAAACAATCAGGTTAGACAGGGATTATTATTTTTTTTTCTGGCAGAATCCTGTTTAAAAAAAGAACAAGCAGAAGAGGGAAAACAAAATCATCTTGAATTCAGAAAAAAAAATAAATAAAACAAATCAACGTATTTAAAAGCAAGCAGAATGGCATTGTGTAAGGTACAACCACCACCAAGCTGTTCTCATCCTTCCAACTGTGTGTATCCTTCGTTTTGTTCTCCATAAGGAAACGGGAATGCTTTTCCCCTCTGACAAAACTAAGGACAATATTTCCAATACCAGCCTGTCTATGGATGCTCTTGTGTTTACAAATTGTGTATACTTTTATTTCTTTGATCTTATTTTAAGGTTTTGTTGTTTTTTGGTTTTTTTTGCGTATTCTTTCAGGTCATTTGCTTCAGTCATAAATGCAATTGTTTGTTTTCAGATAATTGGTTTTCACCTTTTCCTGTGTTTGTACATTGTATATAGTTCTTCAGTATTAGAGGGAGGCGTATTGTTTGTCATATTTACAATATGTGTTGGTGCTCATTTGAGAAAATAAAATTTTCAAGTACTAAAGCTGCTGGTCCGTGTTCCTGCTTTAACCTCCTGTGCTGTGTGCAAACCACTGAGATCCCAGAGCTGCTCCCAGCTGGGATCCAGCCCTTCCAATCCCTGGAGCTTTCACCTCGAAACCACGTGTGGTCAGGCCAAAAGTGCTTTATTTGGGGTTTTTTGGGATGAGCTGATGCAATCCCTCTTCATCCAACTGAGGACAGCTGGGACCTGTCCTGGTGCCCTGTGCCAGTGCCCAGCAGTGCTGTGAGTGCCCTTAATTCCACCGTGTGTCTGAAAAAGCAACTTAACCCTCTTTGGAGAGGCCGGGGCCGGGCCCTGAACTCAGAGCGAGCTCAGGCCACGGCAGGCAAAGCTGCAGCTGAGAGGTTGGAGGAGTCTGTGGGAGGTGAGGAGGAGCCAGAGGGTTCTGGGAGGTGGCTGAAGGCCAAGGAAGATGTGGCTGTGAACTGATGTCCTGTGGGTGCTCATCCCGTGGGTGCTCATCCCATGGGTGCTCATCCTGTGGGTGCTCATCCCGTGGGCAAACAG